TTTACCTGTGTCCCTGTCTGTTCTCACCTGTCTTTACCTGTGTCCCTGTCTGTTCTCACCTGTCTTTACCTGTGTCCCTGTCTGTCCATCTGTCCTCACCTGTTCTTACATGTGTCCCTGTCTGTCCTCACCTGTCCTTACCTCTGTCCCTGTCTGTCCATCTGTCCTCACCTGACCTTACCGGTGTCCCTGTCTGTCCTCACCTATCCTTACCTTTGTCCCTGTATGTTCTCACCTGTCCTCACCTGTGTCCCTGTCTGTCCATCTGTCCTCACCTGTCCTCACCTGTTCTTACATGTGTCCCTGTCTGTCCTCACCTATCCTTACCTTTGTCCCTGTTTGTTCTCACCTGTCCTCACCTGTGTCCCTGTCTGTCCATCTGTCCTCACCTGTCCTCACCTGTTCTTACATGTGTCCCTGTCTGTCCTCACCTGTCCTCACCTGTGTCCCTGTCTGTCCATCTGTCCTCACCTGTCCTCACATGTGTCCCTGTCTGTCCTCACCTGTCCTTATCTTTGTCCCTGTCATCCTCACCTGTCCTCACCTGTGTCCCTGTCTGTCCATCTGTCCTCACCTGTCCTCACCTGTGTCCCTGTCTGTCCAGATGCGAGTCCTGAGGTTGGGTCGGTGGTGGTCCACACTGGGTGTTCTGATGAAGATTAGCTGGGCCTCGGTCAGTCCTCTTGGTCTGGTTCTGGTTTTGGTGGTCTTCATGTTCTCTGTGGTTGGCATGGATCTCTTCCAAGAGGACTACAAGGACCTGGTCTGCAGGATCTCATCGGACTGTGAGCTCCCCCGCTGGCACATGGTGGACTTTTTCCACTCGGTCCTGCTGGTCTTCAGGGTCCTGTGTGGCGAGTGGGTCGACAGCTTGTGGGACTGCATGGAGGTGTCCAACCGGACCGTCTGTGTCTTCTTCTACGTCACGGTTCTGCTCACCGGAAACCTCCTGGTGAGACCCGGGTCCACTTTGTTCTTAGAGGGGTTTTAGGATGAGCTACAAGGGTCCCTTCAACATCAAAAACCTGAAATCAAAGTCTTTGGTTCAGATCCTGGTCCAGTTTTGATCTGATCCGTGTCAGTTTTGTTCCAGGTCTTTACTGTGTTCTGGGTTCAATTCCAGGTCCTGATTCTGTTCTTGAACCTGCTGCTGATCCCATTCCGGGATGAGAAACTGGCAACTGAAGGAGGAAAAGGAACCAGCATGAAGTGGACCAAGACCTGGATTCTGGAGCGATTCAGGTCCTTGAAGGGAAAACTCGGTCCTGAGAGTGAGTCCTTCTGTCTCTGTTGGGTCCTCCTCATTGCTGCAGGCGACGTCTGAACCTTGTGTCTGTTATCAGCTGAGGAGAACGGCGGGAAAGAACACCTGGCCCTAAAGACCATCACCTCGGACCAACAGATCCTCGAGGGTCACCCTGAGGACCAGGACTCCTGCAAGGTGTTGCCCAGTCCATCTGCTGAGGAGAAAAAACAGGTAAATTTAGTTTTACGCTTTTATTCTGTGACGCAGAACAATCTGTTGGTGAATTTGATGAAGTAGGCAGAGTCAAGATTTAAAAAATGATTTTAATTATCATAACTTGATGTACCTGGTCTGGTTTTAACCAGGTTCTTTCATCCAAACAAGCCACGACTTTTGACCTTTGACCTTTAACCTGAATGAATTTGTGCAAATTCCTGTTTTTTTTCAAGTGACTTTAGTGATGAAGAAACATCAAGACAGCAGAAATATTTCATAAGTTTAAGTCAACAAGATTATTTTACTTAAACAAAAACACAAGACATTTATTTGTTTGACATGTTTCCTTTAGCGTGAAGCCGTCCAGAAGTCTGAAGACCCCGAGAATCAAACAGGAAGTGGACCTGAGGACTGCTGCTGTGCATGTACGTGCACAAACACATTATCCACCGTGAAATGTTGTGTTCTGAGACAGGATCAGACCAGCAGGAGCTGATCAGGGATCTGTGCTCCGTGTGTTCCAGGCTGTTACCTCCGCTGTCCCATCCAGGACATAGACACGTCCCAGGGTGCAGGGAGGGTCTGGTATAAGTTCAGAACAGTTTGTCTCCACATCGTTCAGTTCAGATTCTTCGAGGCCTTCATAATCTTCGTCATCCTGTTGAGCATTGCTGCATTGGTAAATACAAACGCAAAGAATAACAAACAACAACAATTCATTTACAAACTGGAACCATTCAGACCTTCAGAACCAGTGACAGAGTGGGACTGTAACTGGGAACCAACTTCCTGGTCCAGAACTCCTGATCTTGTCTCCTTTTCCTTTCAAACTTTGAACCTTGATGCTTTTATTGTTTGTTTGTTTGTTTGTACGCTGTTGGTGAAACCATGATTGTGTTTGTGGACAGATGTTTGAGAGCATCAACCCTCAGCAACAACCAATCCTGCAGAATCTTTTGGACACAGCAGACCAGGTCTTCACCTACATATTTCTGTTGGAGATGCTTCTCAAATGGGTCGCCCTCGGGTTCAAGAAGTACTTCAGCAGCTTCTGGTGCTGGCTCGACTTCATCGTCCTGGATGTAAGAGCATGATCAGTTCCACAAATTACTGCTAATCTATTGATAACTAACAGAAACCAACACTGAGGGCAGTTTTGACCCTTTTAGTAGGTTTTTAAAATTATTTTATGGTTCTTTCACTGGTTAGTAATTAAAGCAGGACTTTGCACCAGGATCAGATGGAACAAAACCATGATTACCAAAAATATAAACCTAATACAGTCCAGGGGACACAACCTTCCAATCTTTAGGTTTGGTACCAGCAACCTGTCTCAAAGACACACTTCAGACCCAGTTTGTTAGACCCAGGTCTTTAGCTGGACCAATTAAAAATATCACAGAAAACAAAAATAGGATTCTAACCCAGATCAATCCAGATCTATCCAAACCAACCCAGACCAATTCAGACCAACCCAGACTAACATAAACCAACCCAGACCAACTCAGACCAACCCAGACTAACCCAAACCAACCCTTATCAACCCAGACCAACCTAAACCAACCCAGACTAACCCATATCAACCCAGACCTATCCAAACCAACCCAGACCAATTCAGACCAACTCAGACTAACCCAACCAATCCAGACCAACCCAGACTAACCCAGACCAACCTAAACCAACTCAGACCAACCCACCCCAACCCAAACCAACTCAGACCAACCTAGACTAACTCAGACCAACCTAAACCTACCCAGAGCAACCCGGACCAACTGAAGGCTGTGGTGGTCAACAAACCACAGAAGAAGACAGTAGTGGTGGATTTATGGATCTCCGGGGTCGACACATTAGGAAGCCTCTTTATAAATCAGCTGCTTCCTGCTCACCTGTAGAATGATGTCATCAACACCTGTGTTTTATCTTCCAGGTTGCTCTGTTGTGTTTGATTTTCAACACACTGGGGTACTCAACAGAACCTCTGAGGGTTGTGAGGACCCTGAGAGCCCTGTCCCGCTTCAAAGGCATGAGGGTAAGACAGACACACTGAACTCTGAAGACACAATGAAGTGAGACAGGTGAGACTGACAAGTGAGGTAAACACAGACAAACAAGAAAGATGAGACATACACACTGACAGGTGAGACAGACACTGAGAAAGTTGCCTATTACCTGTCTCACCCTCACCTGTCTTTCGGTGCAGATGGTGTTGCGTTGGATGGCGGCGAGCGTTCCCTCCATGTGCAGAACAATACTGGTTGTTCTGTTTGTCTGGCTGATCTTCAGCATCATTGGGGTGAACCTGTTTGCAGGAAAGTTTGATTACTGTTTCAATGAGACGAGTGCAGAGGCCTTCATGGTATCTGAGGTGGAAAACAAGTCCGAGTGTCTTGGCCTTTCTTTAAACGCTACTGAGGTCAACTGGAAGAATGCCAAGTTTAACTTTGACAACGTGGTGATGGGTCTCCTTTCTCTGTTGATCATGGTCAGTGATACATTTACACACAAAAAACTGAAACACTAATCAGATTCAGGAGTTATACACTAAATAAAACAGAGTTTGATGAGAATCTTTAACTGTCAGAATATTATGATTTATTCTTATGTGAAACCTTTAGATGTTCAGAAAGTTTTACAGAGAATGAAATTAAATTCTGTTTTCTAATAAAGTTTTGATGATTTCAGGCGACATCTACGGGCTGGCACGACATCATGTACGCAGCTGTGGACTCCAGAACGGTCAGTACATTTCTTGGTACTGGTTCTGTTACTGATGTTTTCAGTCCCATTGTTAATAGTGGTGGTAGTATAGACACTGATACCAGTACCCATTCTGATGTGTGTATATGTGCGTATGAGTGCAGGTAGAGGAACAGCCAGTGTATGAAGTCAACCTGTACATGTACCTGTACTTCATCCTTTTCATCATCTTTGGCTGCTTCTTCACCTCCATCCTCTTCATCAGAGGCTTCATTGATATGCTTACACAGCATGAACACAAGATAAGCAGAATGGTTCCTATAGCTACCATGTGGCAGAGTAGTTCCTATAATTACCACGGGGAAGTCAGCGAAACAGAATAAATCGCCCCTTTTTCACTAGTGCCACTTAGTGTAGTGTCGGTACGGTCAGTTTTTGTGTGCTTTTCCATTGACGTTCCAGTCCGGTTCCAGTGGGTGTGTTTTGGGCGGTTGGTGGAGGTGGTTTTTGGGTTTTTCAAAAAATAATTAATGCACAAAATGAGAGATGGAAACACGTTTGCCGAATAAGTTCTGAAATTTAAAAAAATTAGCTAAAAATTCAAACTGAAGTTGGATGGAAACACGACTAATGTCACTGCTACAATTGAAAAAATGGTGCCTCGAGTTGTTGTTGTAAAGGCAGCTCAGACGCAACCAGTGACTCCATCCCCTAGCCAATCAGTGACGAACAGTGTTCTGATGTCACATTTTGGTGTCGACTGGGACCACTTAGAACCACAACGAAGTAGGTACTAAAAAAAGGGCTGGTTCCAAGAATCTGGCCTAATGGAAATGGCTTGGAATTGTATCGAACCGTACCGACACTACACTAAGTGGCACTTGTGGAAAAGGGGCAAAAGATCTTGTAGTCATGTATGCTTAGTTGTTACTTATTGTTTTTTTTATCTTTACGTTGGAGGGAAACATGTTTTTATGACAAAAAATCAGCTGAGGTTTCATGGAACTGTGAGGAAAATGTTCTCCAAGACACCCGAGAAAGCTGTCCCACGACCACAGGTGAGTTCTGGCTTGAGGTCTTAGTTTAGTTGTGTGTTTGTGTCAGACTCCAGACTTATTCAGATTTGTGTCTCTTCTGGACTCTGGGGGATCAAACTGGTCCCAGGGTTGACCCGTAGCACCTTGTGTCAGATGATTTCAATGATCTGAAACCTGTCTGTCACCAGAACCAGTGCCAGGCCCGGCTCTTTGACCTGGTGACGTCACCGATCTTTGAGATTGTGGTGATGGTGTTGATCTGTGTATACGTGGTGGCTCTGATGATGGAGCAGGATGACCAGTCCTTAGAAACAGATATAGTTTTCTTCTGGATTCACTTCATCATCCTCATCCTCTTCTACATCGAGTTCATCCTGAAGATTGTTGCTCTTCGACATCACTACTTCCGCTTTGGTTTGAACATCATGGCCTTTGTGATTCTCCTCTTGTTGACCACAGGTGAGTCTTCAGCAGGTGATGCTGTCATCTCATATCTTCTACCTGTCTTACCTTTGCTGGGTAACTTGTTTAATTAGGTTCAGTCCAGTTTGAACCCTAATAATCAGCTCTGAATCCTGAATTTACAATGTTATAAAGTCCACTCAACCAGAGAAGGAAGTGATGGTAGCATTGTGTGTTCCAGGTATCTTCATCGCAGATGTGTTTGAAAAATATTTCTTCAGTCCTGGTTTCTTGCCCATCCTTCGACTGGCTCACATCTGTAGAATCCTCCCGTTGACTCGCTGGGCCAGAGGGATACAGACGCTGCTTGTGAGCTTCCTGAGGTCACTTCCTGCCCTCCTCAACATCGGCCTGCTCTTCTTCCTCGTTACGTACACCTATGCTTATGTTGGCATGTACGCCTTCGGCCACGTGAAGGAGGAGGCCATGATCGACAGCATGTTTAACTTTAAGACGTTTGGAAACAGCATGATCAGTATGATTCTGGTCAGCCCGTCCTCTGGATGGGACGGTTTTCTGGGTCCTATCATGAACACGCCTCCATACTGTGACCCGGGTGTAGACTGCAGCAGCCCAGCAGGGGGCATCGCCTTCTTCACCTCCTACATCCTCCTGTACCTGCTGCTGGTCGTCCACCTCTTCGTCGCTGTTGTCCTGGAGAGCTTCAACTGCAGGGAACCAGAGAATTCCCTGAGCGACGAGCACCTGCAGATGTTTTATGACACCTGGAGGAGGTTTGATCTGGATGCTTCACGGGTCATAAATTACAGGTGACAGGTCCATCCTGAGGAAAACCTCCACCTTCAGAGAAGCAGGGTGGACTCTAACTCTCTTTGTTTGGGTTCCACAGCCAGCTGTCAGATTTCTGTGACCAACTTCAGGACCCGCTAAGGATTCCCAAACCGAACAACATCAAACTGATCCACATGGATCTGCCTCTGCTCCCTGGAGACAAGATCTGCTGCCTGGACATACTGCAAGCACTCAGCACACAGGTAACATCACCTGATCATCTGATGCTGTTCTTCTTCTTGTGGCACTTGTTCTTGTACTTGTTCTTCTTGTTCTTGTTTTTGTTCTTCTTCTTGTACTTGCTCTTGTTTTTCTTTTTGTTTTTCTTTTTTGTTTTTGTTCTTGTTCTTCTTCTTGTTCTTGTACCTGTACTTGTTCTTGCTCTTCTTCTTGTTCTTGTACCTGTACTTGTTCTTGCTCTTCTTCTTGTTCTTGTACTTGTACTTTTTTGTGTACTTGTTCTTGCTCTTCTTGTTCTTCTTCTCGTATTTGTACTTGTTCTTGTTTTTCTTTTTGTTTTCATTTTTGTTTTTGTTCTTGTATTTTATCTTGTTCTTGCTCTTCTTGTTCTTGTACTTGTTCTTGTACTTGTACTTGTTTGTGTACTTGTTCTTGCTCTTCTTGTTCTTCTTGTATTTGTACTTGTTGTTGTTTTTGTTTTTCATTTTTGTTTTTGTTCTTGTACTTTATCTTGTTCTTGTACTTCTTCTTGTACTTGTTCTTTTTCTTCTTGCTCTTCTTTTCCTTGTGTTAATGAGTCAGCATTCATACTACAGCGCGCCTGTTTCGCTTTATGTTTTGTCTTTTCTGAAAAACATATATTCTTCGGCGTTTTTATTCGTTCATGTCAAACCATTCAGCTTGTTCAGAAGATGAGAGCTGTAATGACTTTTGGATTTGGTAACTTTTATATTTTGCTAACTATTTAGCTTTAGTTACAAGTATTTTGCTGACAGAAATCATTGTGATCTCGTCAATTCCTTTTTTTTATTTGCTTCAGCAAACCTGGTTTGTTTTTGTTTCTTTAAGCTTCTATTAGTTTTCAGATCCTTTTAGCTTGTATTTTGTTTCTTTTAACTAGTGTTTTATTTTGAGCTTTTAGATAGCATTAAAGTACTTTGAGCTAGCATTTTCTACTTTTAGTTAACTTTTTTAACCTTATAGCTAGTGTTTTGTCAGAGTACATAAATTAATGCGTGGACACAAGATGATAATTCGTGGCCATGCATTAGTTTTTTTATCCAATGTCACCAAACGGGCTCCATGTTTTGCTATTTTTAGTTTGTGTTTTACTCCTTTAAGCTAATTTTCTGTTTCCTATCATTATTAGTTCAGTTGAAACTTGTGCAGTAATTTTCTTCAGTTTATTCAGTGCTCAGTTCAACATATAAACTTTATTTTACCATAAAGTTTCACTTTATTTATGTTTTATGACAGAATATTTTGCTTTTTGTGCAGGTGTTTGAATCAGGACAGATGGAGGATCTGAAGGGCAGATTGGAGGAAAAGTTCAATGTCCACAACCCTGTAAACATTCTATTCTATTCTATTCTATTCTATTCTATTCTATTCTATTCTATTCTATTCTATTCTATTCTATTCTATTCTATTCTATTCTATTGTTATTCAGCTCTTGATGACAACATTAAAAACAGCTGTTCACCCTCAGAGTATGACTCGCAGCTAAATTTAGCTACATTTCTGTAAAGTTGACTCGATGTTTATTTATTTTTTGCTAAGGTTAATTAGCTTTCACAGTTGCCTTGAGCTGCATTTGCTCTCAAAGTTGATGAATGTCAGAAACGCACCTGACGATCGCTGCCTCCTGTTTCCAGCAGGAGGCTCAGGAACCAATCAGCAGCACCCTGCGGAGGAAACAGGAAGAGGTGGCGGCCGGTGCGATCCAGCGAGCGTTCAGGAGACACCGCAGGCAGGACAAAGTGGAATAGAACAGTGGACCTTGATGTGGGCGGAGCCACTGGGTTCTCCACAGCGATCACCTGACTTCCTGTGAGACGGTGACTTCATCTCTCCCTGTTTCTAAACATAATGTCTTATTTTAATGTTTCCTTTTAAAATCCTGCACAGGTACAGCATTCACTCTGGATCTGTCTGTAACTAACAGATTTAATCTGCTCTAACCCAAACGTTAACACCTATTATCTCACAAAGTGTCGACAAAAATCACTAAACTGTGAGAAAATACACAACTTGTTACTTGGAATTACATTTAACATGTTTGCTCAAAGGCCCAAAGTTTGGGTCAGAACTTAGCGGGAGTTAACAGAAACTATATTCATTTTGTTTGTTTGTCACTTTGTACATCTCAGAACAAACAAACTGTGAACGTTGATTTAAACTATCTCAGCTCTGTGGCTCGTCCAGCTTTATTTGATTTTTTCTGCTTTCATTACAAAAACAAGGGTGTAACTTTAGGTCAAGCACTGGGGGGGGGGGGGTTATGCTCTAAAACCCTGCATGTCATTTTCAGCAGTTATGTTTAAACGTAAATATCGTAAATTTTAAATCAGGTCAAAGTTACTTAAAGACAACGAGAATTGCAGGTGTCTGTTTAACCAGTTTATTTCTGTTGTGTTTGAGCAAATTGTGACTAGATCAAATTATTATGGGGGTCATACCCCCCCGCATATTATGCCTGTGCTTGGTTAAACATAATAATGTTCAGTTTAACCAGAAATAACTCAAGTAACAACTTTAATTCTTACGTTTTTACTTTTGTATACTTAAATAACTATATTTTTTGTACTCTTTCATAATAAAGAGAATGTAAAAGCAGTTTGATTTGTTTTCATTTTAAATTTCAGGATGCTGTTTTCTCTTTACTGAAACACGTCGTCTGAGTTTGTTATTGGGAACAAAAGAATCAAATCTAAGATTCACAAGGGAAAAAATCAGATCAGAGGAAGAAGCAAAGTTTGGATGAGCTGAGCTTTAGTTTATTAATGATAGAAGGAGTCCATGATGCGCCTCATGCTCATGAACCTCATGTGGCCCATGCCCATGTTGGAGAAGCTCCTGTACTCTCCAGGCCTCATGTACATCATCCTGCCTCTGTAGTGGGGCTGCTCGTACATCAGCCAGTGCCCGTCCATCACGTGGCAGGACATGCAGTTGGACATGCGGTAACGGTCCATGATGTTGTCACAGTCGTCCATCATCTCGTACATCTGGCCTCCGAAGTTCTCCCTCTCATAGATCCTCATCCTGTAGGAGCCGCGGTGCTGAAACACAACAGTCACCAATGATTAACAATCAGTAATCAATGTTTAGAATAATAATAATAGTAACTTGACATGGGTTTTTACGATGTAAAAACAAGTGTGCATTGCCTTTGCCTGCAGCTTGAACTGTGACCAAGTTGAAATGTGTTTGCTAATCAAATACCAGCTTGTGCCTGCCAAGTCAGCAGTTGTTTGTAATGAGGGTAATTGTGTGAGAATATGACAGTTAGAAAATATGTAGTTTTAATGAAATATCTTGTTTATGGCTGGGGTCGAACCCTGATCTCCCACACGAAAACCCATAGTGTTCACCATGAGACTATAGGAGCTGTTGCAGTAGTTACTCCCAGTGTTAGCTTTGTAATGTGTGCTGAAAGGGGCCATATTGGTAATGCAATTGTTGACACTAAACTGCAATATATTACAACAATAAAGGAATATTAGGACAATATTATAGTGAAATTTCAAAATACAATCATGTTTGTATTGTAAACACTGAACTACTGAGTTTAAATATTATTAAACTATGGTGCAGTACTGAGTAGATACAGCATGGGGCAGTATTGGACCAATACAAGGCTCCATTGACTCTCATTATTTGATTTTAAACATTAATATTTCAAAAATTAAAAGTTGTACAGGCACCAAAAGGCATAGCAATCATTTGGTAGAGGAGCTTTACAGATTTAAATTACAATGGCAGTTCTAGGACAAAGTATGCAGGAGGAGAAGCATGGCAAAGTGGAGATGACTTGGATGGGAAACGAATCACAACAGTGTGCATTGCATTGGCTATGCACACTGATAATAACATCCATTAATTGAATGGTTCTGAGGTCAAGAAATCTATACCAAAACAACAAAGTGGGCTATGAATCAACTGAGTGTTTACCATGGGGATCATGCGGCAGGACCTGATGCAGTCGCTCCATCCAAACATGCTCATGTAGTCGGCGTACTCGCCCCTCCTCATGAAGTACTGGTTGCCCATGTAGTTGGTGCGGTCGTAGACCATGAAGCAGCCTCTCTCCACCCTGCAGGAGTGACACCTGCTCATGTAGGAGGACATGTCGGCGCAGTCGCTGCTGCACTCGTAGGAACGGCCCTGGAAGTTCCTGTCCTCGTAGAAGATGATCTGAAGATGCAGGGAAAACATCAATCAGGAAGAAAGAACCAAAAGTCGCAAAACGTAAAGTTTTCTAACTGTGGTCTAAATACAAATGAAGCATCAAGTTTTTAGTGAAAATGTGCTTTTATAAACTCTGTAGAACAAATGTGTCATAATTTTTTTATTAAGATTAAAAGTAAGCTAAATTATTTTCTTAAATTAACTCATGAAAGAAGTTTTTTTCCAATGGTTTAGGACAGCAGGAACGTTACAGTTCGTCTGTTTTCAGTGTGAAATGTTTGGTTGTGGTTCCGGCTCTCACCCTGCTGCTCATGTTCATGTCGCTGGAGCTCATGTTGCTGGTCGTGTTGTTGGTTGTGTTGCTGTCAGGTTGCTCAGCTCAGCTGCTGTTGTTGAATGTGTTACCTGTGGAGCAGCGGCTGCTCTTTATAGAACCTGAGCAGCTGAAGCCTTTTGTCCAAACAGCCTGAGCCAGCAGCGCGTCATAAAGAGACACTCAACGTTCGGCATTTCTCTTAGAAACCACGGACAAAGAGCCTCCTTCAGGCCTCTGTTCACACTTTCTGGAACAAAAAACCTGAAGACAAAAGCTGTAAAAATACCAATTTTTTAACCCTTTGTTCACAAAACAAAGAAACAAGCTTTTATCCTCAGCATCTGATGACCAACACCAGAAACATGTCCCTGTTCAAACTGGAACAAAAGCTTCTTTTAAAAAACTAGCTTCACTTTTAATTCAGTCACTTTCATATATTTAGGAGTAAAACAAAATAAAGCTGTGAACATCCAGAATGGTCCATTTAAAGACTTTATTTTTATTTAAACACAGAATTACCAGATAATTAATAATGTAGTTATTTTTGGAACAAATGAACTTTGTACACATGTAGTTGATAAAAGTTTCATAATAAAAGTTTGTTTTAATATCAGAACAATAAAAACAAACATGTTTAATGGCAGGACTGAACGTTGGGTGCATGAACTCTTCAAAATCCACAAACTATAGTGTTCTAATTGTTTCAATGTTTTTAATTTAATTATTATTATTATTTGTTTCTTTATTAACCTTTTAATCATTTGTCTTATTTGTTGTTGATCACGGAGGTACCAGGTCCAAACCGATGGTCTCCAGCAGAGAGTCCTGCTTCTACACATTGATATTTTTTATAAACTAAAATTAAGTGTTAGATATCAGCCTTTATTTTGATACAGGTTTAGTTCTTTGTTTTGTTAAATAATGTAAAAATTACAGCATTTATATTTTCTCCACTCAGTTATCGTGCGCATGCTGAGTCAGCACTATTGTTTTCCATCCATCCATCCATCCATCCATCCATCCATCCATCCATCCATTTTCTTCCACCTATCCGGGGTCGGGTCGCGGGGGCAGCAGCTTCAGAAGGGAGGCCCAGACCTCCCTCTCCCCAGCCACTTCTTCCAGCTCCTCCGGGGGAACTCCAAGGAGTTCCCAGGCCAGCCGAGAGACATAGTCCCTCCAGCGTGTCCTGGGTCTTCCTCGGGGCCTCCTCCCGGTGGGACGTGCCCAGAACACCTCACCAGGGAGGAGTCCAGGAGGCATCCATACCAGATGAACCACCTCAACTGGCTCCTCTCGATGTGGAGGAGCAGCAGCTCTACTCTAAGTCCCTCCCGGATGACCGAGCTTCTCACCCTATCTCTAAGGGAGAGCCCAGCCACCCTGCAGAGGAAACCCATTTCGGCCGCTTGTATCCGGGACCTCGTTCTTTCGGTCATGACCCAAAGCTCATGACCATAGATGAGGGTAGGAACGTAGATCGACCGGTAAATCGAGAGCTTCGCTTTCTGACTCAGCTCTCTCTTCACCACGACGGACTGGTACAGCGCCCGCTTTACAGCAGACGCTGCGCCAATCCGCCTGTCGATCTCCCGCTCCGTTCTTCCCCCATTCGTGAACAAGATCCCCAGATACTTAAACTCCTCCACTTGAGACAGGGCGACCCCCCTGACCCGGAGAAGGCACTCTGCCCTTTTCCGGCTCAAGACCATGGCCTCGGATTTGGAGGCACTGAGCCTCATCCCGGCCGCTTCCCACTCGGTATTATTATTTTTCAGCACATTTATTTGCACTCTAACTACTTGTTTATACTTTGTGTCACAATATTCAGTTTAAATAACCAAAGAAGACTTGAATTACTGATCATAGCGTTTGTAAAAGAAAACTTTATTTTTTCAGAGGGTTCAGACATCTTCTGCAGGGACAGGAAGTGATGAAATGACCTGTTTTATAATCGTTTCTGAGTTGAAGGATGTAGAAGAAATGTCCAGTTCAGGAATCCACAGAGGACTGAGGACAGGTGGTGGAGAGTGGGCAGGCAGGTGAGTAATGTCGCTGATCTGGTTTGAGCCTGAGGAATCATCTGAGGAGTGGTCCCATGTGGGGGGGTCCCTGAAGGAGAGTGACGAGGAAGAACCTCTGAAAGAGAACACAGGTACAACTCTGGGAACTCAAGGAAAATAAACTTTAGAAGCCGCCGTTCACCAAAGTGACTCCAACCTGAGGAGCGTCTGAGCTCTAACAGCTGGATCATATTCATCATCACATCTACACCTGAACGTTTGACCACCTACAGCAAACAGGAAGTGCCTATAACACCAACATACATTATTGTTGTTGTTGTTGTTGTCGTCATCGTCGTCGTCGCCGTTGTAGTCATCGTCGTCTTTATTATTATTATTATTTTAATTATCGTCATCGTCATCATCATCATCATGTTATTAATAATACATTTTTTGTAAATGGTCTGGTCTTCTATTGTTTGATCCAGTTCTACCTGAGGGTTTTCCACAGTTTTGTCTAGATCTACCTCAGAGTCTTCTACTGTTTGGTCTAGGCAGTGGTGGGCAGCCTAATCCAAAATTTAGCTCCACAATTTCTAAAGTGCTTGCGAAAATATTTAGGTCCGCAAATTTTAAAGCGCCTGTGCCATAGAAAATTAGCAGAAGCTAATTTTAAAGCACAAGTTCTATTTGACACTTACTAGCCGGCAGTAATTCATGTACAATATATGTACAACACTGCCAACTAGCAGTGTATGAACTCTTTTACAACTAAATACTGCAACTGCCGATTGCTGGGGATGTGATTTCCTGAAACAGACCTTTTGCTCCTGGTGTAAAAATAAAAAAGTTGTTGAGGATTGCTAGTTCGGCTGCATCTACGTCGGGGTCTTCTGCTGTTTGGTCTAAGTCTGCTTTAGGGTCTTCCACAGTTTGGTTTAGGTCTACCTCAGGGTATTCTACTGTTAGGTCTAGGTCTACATCAGGGTAGTCTACTGTTAGGTCCAGGTCTACCTCAGGGTTTTCTACTCTTTGGTCTAGGTCTACCTCAGGGTCTTCTACCCTTTGGTCCAGGTCTACCTCAGGGTCTTCTACTGTTTGGTCCAGGTCTACCTCAGGGTCTTCTACTCTTTGGTCTGGGTCTACCTCAGGGTATTCTACTGTTAGGTCTAGGTCTACCTCAGGGTCTGCTACTCTTTGGTCTAGGTCTACCTCAGGGTATTCTACTGTTAGGTCTAGGTTTACCATAGGGTCTTCTACTGTTTGGTCCAGGTCTACCTTGGGGTCTTCTGTTGTTTGGTCCAGGTCTACTTTGGTCTAGGTCTACCTCAGGGTCTTCTACAGTTTGGTCCAGGTCTACTTCAAGGTCTTCTACCTTTTATTCCAGGTCTACTTAGGGTCTTCTACAGTTTGGTCTGGGTCTTTCTTTTGTTTTGAACTCTTAACTGTTATTGGAGGTACCGGTACCTCTTCTTGATTGGAAACACTATATATTGGCAACAGTGTTATTGTTTATTTAAATGCTGTTCTCGTTCATTTAAATAGTATTTGTCAAGGAGTCCTAACAACCAGGACTGCAACGTAATATGAATACACAAATCAAGTAATGTTAAAAATGTTTGAGCAATGATGAACAAATAAGACCAAAGGGTCTGACAGTGAGAGACTGTTTCTGTAATGGTCTAAACTGGACAGTTGTTTGATTCTAAAGAGCTTTGTAGGATTTTTCCAACCAATCAGAATTTGATGAAACCTTTTTAAAATGTTTTATTGAAGTTAGCAAATTTTTAGTGATTTTATTCAGTCTTTATTCTGAAATTCAGATTGCTTTGGAATCGTGCTGAGGTAAAGCTTTAAAGACAACACTTTATGTACTGTCAGTACTTTTAATTTCTAAACTTTGAGTTGAGTTTTTTTCTCTTTATGCTGGTTTAGTCAAAGTTTTCAGGATGAAAGTGTTTTTATGGAAAAGTGAAACTTTATTTTAAACAAGTAGTGATGTTCTGAAAATCCACTTTATCAAAGAGAAGTTGGTATTTCCTTTCAGCAAGTCCTTTATTTCTGCTTATTTCTGCACAAAATGTTAAACTTTAGGATTTATTAGCTTTAAAAAACAGATCAGAGGAAGGAGCAAAGTTTGGATGAGCTGAGCTTTAGTTTATTAATGATAGTAGGAGTCCATGATGCGCCTCATGCTCATGAACCTCATGTGGCCCATGCCCATGCCCATGTTGGAGAAGCTCCTGTACTCTCCAGGCCTCATGTACATCATCCTGCCTCTGTAGTGGGGCTGCTCGTACATCAGCCAGTGTCCGTCCATCACGTGGCAGGACATGCAGTTGGACATGCGGTAACGGTCCATGATGTTGTCACAGTCGTCCATCATCTCGTACATCTGGCCTCCGAAGTTCTCCCTCTCATAGATCCTCATCCTGTAGGAGCCGCGGTGCTGAAACACAACAGTCACCAATGATTAACAATCAGTAATCAATGTTTAGAATAATAATAATAGTAACTTGACATGGGTTTTTACGATGTAAAAACAAGTGTGCATTGCCTTTGTCTGCAGCTTGAACTGTGACCAAGTTGAAATGTGTTTGCTAATCAAGTACCAGCTTGTGCCTGCCAAGTCAGCAGTTGTTTGTAATGAGGGTAATTGTGTGAGAATATGACAGTTAGAAAATATGTAGTTTTAATGAAATTTTTTGTTTATGGCTGGGATTGAACCCTGATCTCCCACATGAAAACCCATAGTGTTCACCATGAGACTATAGGAGCTGTTGCAGTAGTTACTCCCAGTATTAGCTTTGTATGTGTGCTGAAAGAGGCCATATTGGCAATGCAATTGTTGGCACTAAACTGCAGTATATTACAACAATAAAGGAATATTAGGACAATATTATAGTGAAATATCAAAATCAGTCACCAATGATTAACAATCAGTAATCAATGTTTAGAATAATAATAATAGTAATAACATCCATTAATTGAATGGTTCTGAGGTCAAGAAATCTATACCAAAACAACAAAGTGGGCTATGAATCAACTGAGTGTTTACCATGGGGATCATGCGGCAGGACCTGATGCAGTCGCTCCATCCAAACATGCTCATGTAGTCGGCGTACTCGCCCCTCCTCATGAAGTACTGGTTACCCATGTAGTTGGTGCGGTCGTAGACCATGAAGC